CATCTGATGAGGCGGCTCTTGGAGTTTTCGAGAGAAAGATTCTGCGAAAGATTTACGGACCTTTACGCGTTGGTGATGGCGAATATCGCAGACGATTTAACGATGAGCTGTATGAGCTTTACAACGATATAGACATAGTGCAGCGAATTAAAATTCAACGGCTCCGCTGGCTTGGCCACGTCGTTCGAATGGACAGAAATGCTCCTGCTCTGAAAATATTCAACGCGGCCCGTGATGCTGGTAACAGAGGAAGAGGAAGGCCTCCTCTGCGTTGGAAAGACCAGGTGGAGAAGGACTTGGCTTCACTTGGCATTTCCAATTGACGTCAGTTAGCACAGAAGAGAAATGACTGGCGTGCTGTTTTGGACTCGGCCAAAATCGTTTAGGCGGTTACAGCGCCAATAAAGAAGAAGAAGAAGAATTTTATTAAAAAAGTCAACAGCAACAAATGCCGATTTTATTTCTACCGGAAAATGAAACCTTCTCTTTGCCCTCTACGCACAAACACTAAGAAGAGGGCAATGAGAAGGCAACATTTTTTGTAGAAAATAAATCACCATAACTGAAAGCAATGTTGAAAAATAGGTATGTTCCTTTATTTTCTCCAGTAAAAAAAATCCAACAGTAATATTTCGGCGACATGTCATCTGTTCTCTCATAAGAGAAACATATCCAGAATAGTACGCGAACAGAAAATTTGCAGAAACTTGCAAGTTAGACGAACAGCTGATAGAATTTTTGTTTATATTCAAAAGTGTAAAATTTAAAACGTACAAAACTAATCACAAAGTGTTATCCTGCCACAGTTTATTGATTAAACGAATAACTACTTTTCACAAGTTTAATAAGTCGTGATTTTGTGATTTGCGTAAATTCCTACCAACTATTTTTGATCAGCTGTTTTCCTGTTGGCAAAATCTAATAGCTTCCCCTCAAAATTAAATGTCACTTTGCTCTATTAATTTCCCCTGCTTTGCAAGTTTATTGCGTACGCGAACGCAAAACGCTGATAGTTTTTGATTACTTTCAATAATTAATAGGTACGCGAATGCAACTAATATAGAACTTATAAAAAAATTAATAAGAAATAAACGAAAATTCTGCTGGCCGTAGGACTCGAACCCACGACCTTGCCGCTCGTTAATTTGCATTACTGCCATCTGCCAAGGCACACTTTTGATCAGATCAACTGCGCCGTAAATCCGGATCAACGCTGCCGTCTGTGTTTTCTTTTAGACAGTGGGTCGTATAAGTTATACAATTTTAAGAAAAAGCAATTGCTGAGTTTTTGTGCATTCGGCCTATTATTATTATATTTATATATTGTATTTAATTGATTTGAAATTTTAAGAAAATATTTCCGAAACTTCATATTGTAAGAAAATTCAAAAACATAATAATTTGTTTTAAATTCAAGCCCATTTGGAAACCTCTGTATTTAATCAACTAACCGTTTATTTAACGTATTTATAAATCATAAATTCTAAATATTAAATGATATCTAGGTGTCACTTCCAATACTAAGTCTTGTGATTGCACTGGCCCTAATGCATTCCATGTCGCTGGTCACGAATGAAGACAAGTTAACACTAAATCTGCGCCATATTCAGCAAGGGATTATATTTGTTGATGGCTCCAATACCGACATCGTAAATATGTTAAAAACAGAAATTGAGAAATATGACGGCATCCGGATAGAACATCTCACTAACGAAAGAGGCGATAACATAACAGACCGTATGTATAAAAACTAATTAAAAAATACATGAATTAATCCTGGGGTATCAAATGCGAATTCAGTGTTGATAGATCTGCAATATGAAAATTTGGCATATTTTTTGGAAAATTACATCGGTGTTATTCAAATGACCAATAATGAAAATGGAAACTTGAACTTCAATATTTATTTTTCGGGTAACATATACCACAGTTCGGTAATTTTGATGAATTTAGTTGATGATACTATTGCGCAATGGAAAATGGGCGAATCAGGAGGCATCGAAACAACGTATACACCAATTAGAAGGTACAGTTTTCGAGCTTCACTTAAATTTTCTCATTTCATGAAAAATATAATTACAGATACCTTACGGATGTAAGCCCGACGCGTTTAGAATACTTCGCCGTAATAATGCCTATTGGTAAGGCCCTTCATATTAACAAAAAAATCTAAGTAAAATATAATTTTCTCGTAATTCATAAAAATATCTTACAGGGCTGTTCTTTAGCATATTTTTTTATGTGGCATTACCTTTTCATGAGAATGCAAGTGGTTTCAAGGAATTGCAAGCTATACCGCGAGCACTCTTCTGGGCTTCAAATTTTGCTTTTGACGCTATGCTGCACTTTACCGTCTGCCTGCTTCTGTTCCTATTGCAAGTAGCGCTGATGCCGACTGAATTGTATAATTTATCCGAGCAATTTGTCATTAATGCGTCTATATTTTTCTATGGGTGCAGTTATCTACCAATTTTATATAGTTTGGCAAATACCTTCCGTTCGATATCTACCATTTCGACGTATATGCTCTTCATGCTTATTGTATCAGGTTAATAATTTAAGCAAGCATTAAATTTTTGTGAAATATTAATTTACTTATGTCTCAAAACCCATTACAGCCATCATACCGCTTATAACATCTGGTAATATACGTGCTATGGAATATCATGAAGGTAAAATATTTATACTGCTGCTGCTGCCAGATTTCAACTTAAATCACCAATTACGGATCATTAATGAACGATTCTTGCTCACCCGCCGGAATGAACTCACATCTACATCTGGGTTGCCCACAGTGCTCAGTGTCAATACTTTCTTTTTTGAAGCCGTTATAGTTTCATTTATTGTTATGGTATGTAAATATATATTACATTTTAGAAATGTATGTAGGGGAAGTCGGGGTATTCTTGGACACACTTTTATTTTGGTCGAAAATTCCCAAAAAAAAATACTTTTTCTAAAAATTTAAAGCTTGGTTTTCCAGTACGAGAAATAGCCTTCCTTTTGGTATTAGCAGCTTGATCAAATTTTATTAAATTACGCATGTTATTTCAGTTGTCAAAAAAATTGTGTTTTTGCACTTTCGAAAAATCTCAGGGAAGTATTGGACTGTTTGTAAATCGATAACACATGACGAAAATTATTGGTGGAAAACATTTATTTGTGAACGAAAACGAAAGAAGACATCATAATTAATAGAATAAAGTGAAAAATTAAGATTAAAATTGTTCCGAGTCACAGTGAACACCCGGGTTTGCTCCGGCGCAATTCAAGTGAACACCTGGATCACAAACAATGCAATGGGCTATATTTCGGTGGTTTTCTTGTCTCGGCATATTTTTCTTGTAAATCATGCAGAAATCAATGTCTTCTTCCACATCAGTTTCGCCCGGAGATAGTATTTTCTGCATAGGTCAGCAACAATTGCAGTCGATGTCAAAACGGCCGATTTCGGGATTTTGCCGAAATCATTGATGCCTCCTTTTTTGCATAATAAAGGGGCATTTTGGCTAAACCAAACTTTATCGGCCCAAAAAAACTATTAGAAATTGCCGAAAAACTAATGCTGTGTGGAAATTATGCAAGAAAAATCCCTCAAACCCTCATTTTTCAAAATCGCGGCGTATAAGTAGGTAACACAATACCAACTTCATACAAAATCTATTCTGCGTCGGAGGCCTAAGCGTAAAAAAAACTAAATAAAAATTTTATAAAAAAAGAAAAAGAAAGTTCCGCTGCCCGACGACTCGGAATCGAACTCGCATCTCTCAACCAGCAGTCTAATGCTTTGCCCACTCGGCCATTGCGACGCAACGTGAGCAAAATGGCTTATATAAATGTCTATTGTTTCTTTTGCGAAGCGAGCTCACTCGAATTCAGTGATAGCATTTTTTTCGTATTCGTAGCAGGCATTCGAATTAGATTTTCTACGATGGATTCCGTGATAGCCCTGATTATAAATATATTTAACTTAGTTGGTTCGTCGAAAAATCTTGTCAAAATAACAAAATACTAAGTGAAAAATAAACGAAGTATCAAATTTCTATTTGCTATGGCAGCGAGATAACGGTATGTATTTGCGTTTCCAGAGTTTTTTCCCATCATACGGGAAAACGTATAATTTGTCCCAAATATACGGGATTTACAAAAATTTAACGGGACAAATGAGAAATAAAAGACTTGCTTTAAAAGTCCAACTACGAACCATACATATATTATTATTATTATTGTTAGTACGTCGGGTATACTCGCGCTGCGACCTGAAAGATCTGTGGTGCTAAACCCTAATTTTAGTCACTCCAACCTTAAGCTATGTGTAGTGGTGTAGTGGTAAGCAGTGCGCGCTTTCTCTCATCAGCACCTGGGTTCAAGCCCTGGTCAAAGCAACATCCCAAAAAATATAGAAAAAGGTTTTTTCTTAACAGCGGTCGTCCCTCGGCAGGCAATGGCAAACCTCCGAGTGTATTTCTGCCATGAAAAACAGCTTCTCATAAAAATACAATCGCCGTTCGGAGTCGGCGTAAAACTGTAGGTCCCTCCGCTTTGTGTGACAACATCAAGGCGCACGCCACAAGTCGGAGGAGAAGCTCGGCCAAACACTAACATATGTGTAAGCGCCAATCTATTATTATTATTAACCTTAAGCTATTCAAGAAATTAAGTACATTGGCGTGTTCCAAATCTTGGATGGAGAAGGCAATCGTTCCCTAAGGTGCATCAGTCTGCTATTCATGATACGCGGGCAGTCACACAGAATGTGCTCTGAGGTTTCTTCCGCCAGCCCACAGAACCTGCAGTCCGTCTTTACAGAGAGCCCCATTTTGTTCAGATGATACCTTAACTTGCAGTGTCCTGTCAGGTAGCCTGTAAGAGTCCTAAGACCCTCCCTGCTGAGTTCACGGAGTATTTCTGAGTTCCTCCTGGAAGGAGTTATGAATTTCTTTGATTGTCTCATTCTCTTTGACTTAAGTCAGTGGGCAGCAATCTGAGTTTCCTCCCAACTCCTAAGCAGTCCTGCAGTGTATCCTCTAGATGTACCACAGAAAGGCTCGAGACCATGCATACGCGTTTGGGCTCCACGTTTTGCGATATAGTCAGCCCTTTCGTTTCCTTCATACCCTTCATGCCCAGGGACGAACCACAGCGTAACTCTATTATGGGCCCCTAGGCTATTCAGAAGAGTATTACACAGGGACCGTAACAGTTATAACTTTTATTATAAAAATCACTTTTTAATCGTTATTAACTGAGTTTTATTTTTTGCTCAAAACATAACGATTATTTTTTGAGTTTATTTTTTACTCACAAAATAATCGTTATGTTTTGAGTTTTATTTTTTGCTCGGAAAATAATCGTTACGTTTTAAGTTTTATTTTTCGCTCAGAAAATAATGGTTAAGCTTTAAGTTTTATCTTTTGCTCGGAAAATAATCGTTATTTCTTGAGTTTTATTTTTTGCTCAGAAAATAAAACTTAATTTTTGCGTATGCGTATGTGCATGCGTGAATAGACAGGGGCCGGCTGCATTGAACTTTTAACGCCACTGTGGAGTGGGTAATGAAAATACAGAGAGCAAGATACAAGGGCAGAAACAAAGACAAGGGCAACGACAAAACCACAGACACAACCTATATTGAGGATCAAGCCAATGATAAAGATGAAGAACAGGACAAAGTTAAAGATAAATAAAAAGACAAGGATAAAGATAATGATGAAGATCTAGATCAAGATGAAGACAAAGATGAAGATGAATATGGTGATGAAGATGATGTTCAGCTTCATTTTCATCTTCCCCTTCCCCTTCCTCTTCCATTTCATCTTCATTTTCATCTTCATCTTCATCCCCATCTTTATCTTTGTCTTCATCTTCATCATTATCTTTATCCTTGTATTTTTATTTATCTTTAACTTTGTCCTGTTCTTCATCTTTATCATTGGCGTAATCCTTCAATAAAGGTTGTGAGTGTCTGTGGTTTTGTCCTTGCCCTTGTCTTCGTTTCTGCCCTTGTATCCTGTTTCTGTTGAAAACGCCGCAGTGGCGTTAAAAGTTCAATGCAGCTGCACCCTGTCTATTCACGCATGCGCATATGCATACGCAAAAATTAATTTTTATTTTCTGAGGAAAAAATAAAAGTCAAGAAATAACTATATTTTCCGAGCAAAAAATAAAACTAAAAACGTAACGATCATTTTCCGAGTAAAAAATAAAACTTAGATAGATATTCAGTTGAGGGATGCACTGCGACCAGGAGATCTATTGTGCCCTCTTGCTCCTTACAGCACCTCGATCAGTCCTAACTCCCTTAGGAAACCCAATAGATCGTTGGGTGACATCGAGTGCATGTGATTCGGCTGCTGGCTTAGTGACCTCAGGTATTTCTCTCTTCTCCTCGCCACTGCGTCGCATTTGAGGATTATGTGCTCGGAAGTCTCAGCGGTCCTATCACAGAAACGGCATGAGTCAGTGGACCAGATCCCGAGTTTGTGTAGGTGACTTCTCAACCTGCAATGACCTGTTAATATACCTGTTAAGATTCTTAGTTCGTTCTTTGGGAGGTTAATAAGTTTTTCATATCTTTTCCTATTGTATCCCCCCAATAGCTTCTTTGCCTGGCGCTGCCCAGTGGTTTGGTTCCAGTGCAGTTCTCTTTTTATTCTTTCTTCTCCTCTAAGCTCTTCTTTGACAGTGTGAGGTCCTATTGCAAAGAAGGGCTCGGGGCCTATTGGTGTCGTTGCTGCCGCCTCCCTGGCGAGCCTGTCTGCTTCTTCATTTCCCTCTATGCCCTTGTGGCCTGGGACCCATAAAAGGAGGACCCTGTTGTTATCTGCTAAGGCATTTAGTCTTCCGACACACTCAAGAACTAGTGCAGACTTGATTTCATACGAGTGAAGAGCCTTGAGTGCGGCTTGGCTATCGCTTAGTATCAGGATATTTTCATTGCGATATCCTCTCTGAAGATTAATCGCTGCACACAGACTGATGGCAGGAACCTCTGCTTGAAATATGCTGGGAGTCTGTCCATGGGGACAGCGATCTTTGATCTTGGACCGAAGATGCCTGCCCCAATGCCCTCTGATGTTTTTGAGCCGTCTGTGTACCAAATTATAGGGTGCAGCTGGGAGTATTTCTGGATGTTAGCGTCAGTCCAGCTTGCCTCACTCCCTAATTCTATTTTGAAGTTCCTTTCGAAGCTAATAACTCTGCCGACATCATCTCGTGGGAATCGGGTAATAGGGATCAGTTCCCGAAGAGATTCCATGTTACGAGATGATACTACCTTCTCTTTACCCCACCCTTCTTTGGTGAAGTTTATAAGGGATCGTTTAGCTGCCTGCTCTATGCTAATGTGCAGTGGCGTGAGCTCAAGAATAACCTCCGTTGCTGCCGTAGGGCAGGTGCACATTGCGCCTGTGATACACACACACGCGAGACGTTGTAGTTTCGCGAGTGAGCGCCTCACAGTCACTAGGTTGGCTCTTGAGCCCCAGGCCACCGCTCCATAGGTTATCATTGGTTTGACAATCATAGTATACATCCACCTGAGTATCCGAGGACTGCAGCCCCAGGATTTACCTGCAAGGTTTTTGCATACCATAATTGCCCTTGTGGCTTTGGATGTCATCATGTCGACGTGTTTCTTCCATGAGAGTTTTGCGTCGAGCGTGATGCCCAAATATCTCACTTCGGAAACAGTGTTGACCTCTGTGCCATCCAGGGTTATGGTACTCATTCCTGGTAGGGTTCTTCTTCGTGTGAATGGGACAATGGCTGTTTTCGTTGGGTTTATATTGAGACCCACACTTACACACCACTTCCTTGTTATTCTTAATGCCCTTTGAATTATGTCACATAAGGTACTCTCGAATCTCCCTCTTACTATTATGACTATGTCGTCCGCATATCCCTGACATCGGATTCCATTGTCTGATAGCGTTTGAAGGAGTTCGTCTACTACTAGGCTCCAGAGGAGGGGGGATAATACCCCTCCCTGTGGGCAACCTTTTGTGGTCTTTAGCTGTATGGAGCTATTCCCCACGGTGGTCTGTGCTATTCTAGTTCGACGCAGCGCTTCTATCCATCTTCGAATGGGTGCCTGTACGCCTCTCTTCTCTAGTGCCAGACTTACAGCCTCATGTGAGGTGTTGTCGAAAGCTCCTACTATATCAAGGAAGGCACAGAGCACAATTTCCTCACAGTCGAAAGCACTCTGGATTTCTGTTGTTAGTTGGGACAATGCTGTCTCGGTGGATCTACCTGCTCTGTAGGCGTGTTGGCTGCAGTGTAGTGCCCTGCCCTGACCTTCAGAGTGTTCGACCGAATTTCGTTATCAATAATTTTCTCCATCGCCTTCAGAATAAAGGACGTTATGCTAATTGGCCTAATTGGCCTAAAAGATTTGGCAAGGGAGTAATCTCTTCTTCCTATCTTTGGAATAAAAGTTACCCGGGCTCTTCTCCAGTCTGTCGGGATGTAGGCTAGGGCTAGACTATCCTTCATTAAACCTACTAAATGTGGGATGACCAAGTCCTCCCCCCGTTGTAGCAAAGCCGGATAGATACCGTCCACACCTGGGGACTTGTACGGATCAAATGAGCTCAACGCCCACTCGACGCTGGCCCTCGAGAAGATTTTCCTCGCAACACCCCAGTCGGATGAGGTTGGTCTAAATGTCCGAACAGGTATTTCCATGATCCGGTCGGATGTATCCCGAAAGTGTGTGGAGAGTAGGACACGTGCTCTTTCTTCCTCGCTGCCAGTGTACGTGCTATCCGGCAGCTTGATTGCTAGTTGGGTCTCTATCCTGTCTTTTGCTAGGGCTTTATGCAATCTTGCCGCTGCAGGAGTGGAAGTTATATTCTCGCAGAAGCTTCTAAAGCTCTCCCTTTTTGCTTTCCTTATCTCTTTATTGTATGTGGTTACGCTCGTGGTGTAGTCCCCCAGCACCCAGTTCTTCTGGCTAAATTCAATTTCTTCCGCACATCTTTCCTGAGTGCTGAGAGGTCGTGAGACCACCACGGAGTTTTTGCGTGATTGCCGGGTTTCGGTTTGGGTACCCGGCAGCTACTGTTGACGGCATCTAATAAGACGCCGTTGAGCCTGTTAACCCTATCCTCTAACTCCATACAATCTATCGCTCTGCTTTACGATCAAGGTTTTGTAGGTTCGTTTCAAGCACAGCTCTGAAATTGCCCCAGTTTGTGTTTCTTGGGTTCTGTCTAGGTATCCTTTCTTTGGCACCTGCCCCCACAACGAACTGTATTATCCTGTGATCCGACAGGGACGGCTCCGAGGAGACTGCCCACTGCGAGATCAGATTTTCAGACAGTTTGTTGCAGAGGGTTATATCTAGTACTTCCTCCCTGACTCTTGTAATAAATGTTGCTCTATTGCCGACATTACATATATTTAAGTCGTTGCCTACAATAAATTCTAAAAGTGACTCACCCCTGCTGTTAGTGTCCGAGCTACCCCACTCCTCATGGTGCGTATTTGCATCACATCCCATGATTAGATGGAGTCCCTTCTTCCGGCAGTGGTCTATCAGCTTCTGTGCCTCCATCGGGGGAATGTTATTGTTGTCTCCCGGGAAATATGCGGCAGCGAAGACGATGTCTATCATATACGTAATACTTCTATATTGGCAGTAAGCTAACTTCTCAATTTATCTGGGCTACGATCATAGTGGGCTGGTCGGGCATCTCTGCATCGGCTCGCCAATGTCTGAGAGCCTCAGCTCGCTCTCACTCCTGCCGTCTAGCTCGAGCTTTTGCATGTCCATCCCCTCCATCAACTCCTGAGTTGTTGGTAGAAGTGAAGGGAGGACTGCTGGTTGCTGCATCTCTTCGCCAGGAGTGATATTGCTCTCAGACGAGCTCGGCTCCAGGTTTGCGTGTTCAGGTTGTTCTGCGCCCTGGTCTACCTGCATTACTTCCGCTGCAGTCGCGCTGTCGCCCGTGGACTTATGTCTCCAGGGTTTCATCGCAACACTGCCAAACCTGAAATTTAGACCGAAGCCGTCCCGTCTAATGCTGTTAAACGATTCCTCGTCGATACCTACGTTCAGACGTAGGCCGGTGTCTTCGATGGAGCTGTTAATGATTCGCCATCTCAAGGCATTAAGCCCCTCGTTTTGACCCCTCAGCAGCCCGATCGCATATTCTGGAGACTTGTCCGCGCCCCTTGGTAGGAAGACCGTCAAATTGTGGGTCGGCGGAATGTCGTCTCCTCTCTTCGTGCATAGGGGTGGACCTTGCCACCCTTCTAGGTTACCTGCCACGTTTTTCAGCCACATGGCCGTACTCTCGTCCTTGCAGTCCACAAGGAGCATACCTGGCCTGAAGTAGACGCCGAAAAACGCCAACGGATGCATCCATCCCTTAAACACCTCATCCATGATGACGACTTGGAGGGTTGTCAGGTCGTCTGCGCTCAGCGATACCGCGGGGTAGTTCACAGGCAATACCGCCATTCGGATTCCCCTGAGGGTATCCGAGTAGCTAGGGTTTTGCCTTTGTCCACCCGGCGGTGCCGCCGATTCGGAGCCGACCTGCGGCTCTCTCGGCCCTGGTGCTGATGGGTCATGGTTCTGCCGAAGCTTCTTGCTAGCGTTTTCCCCAGGCGTTAGCTGCCCGCTTCTCCGCTTTTCGGCGGGCGTGGTTCTGCTTTCGGTTGTTGACCCGCTTTTCCCTTCTTTGGCGGGCGCGGTTGACTGCTTACTGGTTGGCCGGCTTCTCCGTACATCGACCGGCGCGGTTTCAGCTGCTTTCTTTCCGAGTGCGGTGGTTTCTTGAGCTGTTTGTTAACCCGCTTCTCCGCTGTTTCGCGGGCCCGGTTTTGTGCTGGCCTACTCGCTTATGCTGCCTCTCTTCGTCGGTTTCGGGTACGTGCAAACTTCCCCGATTTCGGTCATCAGTTCTCCCGCTTCTCCACTTATTAGCGGGTGCGGTTTCGCGATGGTGCTGCTTGCTGTCGTTCTGCTTAGCAGACTCCAACTCCTCTACGTGCCGGATTGCTTCTAGTCGCGCAACCTCGGGTTTTGCCTTCTTGCAGGAATCGGAGGTACCATTTGACTGCTGCACCGCTCAGCACATGCCTCCTGTGGTCATTTAATGCCCCTGGTCTACCCGACGGTTGTACTGCTGGTGGCTTGCAGCGTCGATTTTTCTTCTTGATTTTGTGCCAACGCTTTTACGAACTAGACCTGGAGCGGTCTCGTGCCGACGACCCGCTGGACCCGTGCCCGGACGGAGATCTAGATTAGGTTCGCTTCTCTTGAGGATCAGAAGAGGTTGCCTTCTCGGGAGTGGGGGAGTGCCGCTTTCTCGGAGGAAGTGCATGTTCCCTATACCTCCCATCGCTTGTAGAGGGCTCGTCATCCGACCTCGCATGCTCGATAAACAGGGCCATCTCTTCTGCCGTTGTGTTGCTGTTTTTTTGTTGTTTTTATTGATTTTGTTGTTGTTTTCGCTCATCTTGTTCTTACGACCACCTGCTCGTTACGGCAAGCGCAGTAGTCTCAAATTTATGTATGGGAACTCAGTCGTCGACCGCGGTAGAGCCCTGTGCAGCGGCAAGGCCACAGTTACTCCCCAAGGCGGCCCGGTGTTGAGGAGGCGCCGTTCGAATACAGCCGATTGTCCTCCTGGCTGCAAATCGTCCAATGGGCACGGTGTCGCGTTATACCCTGGATTAGGAGGTGGCAGTTCTTGGTCACTGTTGCCCTAGCCTGGAAAGAGGGTAGCGCAGACGCGACAAGAGCGGCTGCGTTACCCCAGTCCAAGGGAGGACTTATGTTGATTCAGCTAAGCCCCCGCACCAACGGCAAGGTGCCTGCCCCAGCGGAGGAAAATAAAACTTAAAACGTAACTAGTAAAAAAACTAAAACGTAAAATAAAACTTAAAACGTAACTATTATTTATAAAATTAATTTTAGAACATAACGATTATTTTCTGAGTAAAAAATAAAACTCAAAAAATAATGATTAAACTTGATTTTTATAAGTAAAAATTAAAAAATAAAAATCAGTTCCGCTGTAGGTATTCCGAGTAGTTAGAAATATATTGGTGTACTCTTTATGCACGCAGCATCTCTCTTTCAGTGTGATTTTTTGAGCAGAAAATTTCAAAAGTAATCGTTGTTTGCGGTCCCTGGTTTTACAACTGTCCACAAGCCTTGATGTCGGTCTAAATGAGTCTAAGGCCCTTAGTGCTGCCTGACTATCCGAAATAATATTTATTCTGGCCCCGTTTGTCCTTCTCCGAAGACATTCTCGAACACAGACCTCAATTGTGAAGACATCCGCCTGGAATATGGTTGGGTATGACCCCATCAGCACACTTTTCTGGAACCTTGGTTCAAGCACGCCTGCCCCAGTACTTCCGTCTTCCATCTTTGATCCATCGGTATACCATACTTGGGACCCTTTGTCAATCATAGATATTATCGCTTTACAGCAGTCCCTTTCAGGAATTCTAACCTTGCAGGGCTTGTCAAAGGATAACTTCAGTAGCATGATATCAGTGAGATTGATAGCGGGATCATCCATAAAAGGCTTGAGGATCTCCTAGTGACCCCAAAGATCCATACTCTTCATGCTGATTACATTGGGCAGCCGTAGGGCACTCCAGCAGGCCTCCTTTTCTATCAGAATAGATAGAGGAGATATGCCTGTAATTATACCGAGGGCATAGCTCCTTCGATGGCCACACAGATCAAGCGGTATAGCTTGCTCAAGGTGGCACCCGCACTTGCTTGCTTTTTTTTGGCCACCAGGCCAGTGCCGCATATGTGACAACAGGTTTCTCGACCGTACTGAAAGACCAATACGTTGGTTTGGGTAATATTCCCCAAGTTTTACCATGGAGTCTCTGGCAGGCATAAAATGCCCTTGTAGCCTAGTTGGTAACGTTAAGGAGATGTGAGTTCCCATTGAGCCTTTTGTCCAGACTTACCCCTAGATACTGCGGCTGTTCTGAGAACTCAATTTCTGGCCCTGCCAAGGTGGGTTTAGTCAAGTTGACTTTCCTTCTTTTGGTAAATTGGACAACGGTGGACTTCTGCGCGTTTATTGACAATCCCTTTGAAGCACACCAGTCTTCCGTTAATCTGAGCGCAGCTTGCAATCTGGAACAAATTGTGTCCTCATGCGCGCCGACAACGTAGATGACTGCTGCTACAACAACAACATCACTAGGTCATCTGCATATCCATATGCCTTGAATCCATTGCCATTTAACTTTTCGAGGAGTTCGCCAACAACCAGTTTCCAAAGTAGGGGCGATAAGACTCCACCTTGAGGACAGTCACGGGTGGCAGTTACTGCTTGCCTACTGTCCGCTAGTTCCGCTATTATAGTTCTGGATTTCAACATGCTTATGATCCAATCCGTTAGAAGGCCAGGAATATCCTTTCGTATCATAGCTGTCGATATTGCTTCTTAAGACGTATTGTCGAAAGCACCTGATATGTCCAGGAATGCACACAAAGCTATCTGTTTATACCGCAATGCCTTTTTAATAACTTGAGTTGGGCTATGTATTGCAGTAATAGTAGATTTGCCTATCTGATATGCGTGTTGACTCTGACATAGAGGCTTATTCCTGATAAAGTTATCTCTTATGTGAAAGTCAATAAGTTTTTCTAATGTCTTTAGTAGAAAGGAAGTGAGGCTAATTGGCCTATACGCCTTTGGAAGTTGTGCTGAGGTTTTCCCTACTTTAGGTATAAAGACCACTTTGACTCCTCTCCATGTTGTTGGTATGTGAGCAAGTAAGAGACTTGCTCTCAGCAATCTAACTAGTGGCCCAGATATTGAGACCAAGCTCTGCTGCAGCAGCCATTTGGGCCAGGGGATTTAAATGCACTTAAGGTTGAAATGGCCCACGATGTCTTTTCTACACTGACGATTCTTCATGCTAGGCTTCTTGTCCTCTTTTTTGCGTACACAGCCTTCGCCATGTTTGTTGAAATACATGTGCCTTGGGGAATTATCCCGGGAAGTGGGTTTCTAAAGGAAGCCTGCTGGTTTCTTCCGGGGTGCCAGTGTAGGTACCATCTGGGTTTTTTGCAAAGTGCATAGGACGTTGAAATGAACTAGTTTAAGGGCCTTCTAAAGGCGATGCACCTCTGGAAGAGAGGAAATACTCTCGCAGTGCTCACGCCACGTAGCCCTTTTAGACCTTCTGAGCTCATAGTTGTAAGCGGTTAGGGCTGACTTGTAGGCGATCCAGTCACCTGTTGACCTTGCCCAATTGAAAAGCTTGCTGGCTGTTTTCCCAAGTTTCCCGAGAGAATCGTTCCACCAAGGGACATCCCTTTATGGCTTCTTGGTTCTCAGTGGGCAGCTCTCTTCAAAAGCTTGTTTGAGGACAACTTGGAACTTTCTCGCCTCGTCCTCAAGTTCATAGACGGATGAAATTGGTGCCGTGGAACTATTCCTTCCCGCTCTATGTAGAGGCGAAAGAGTTCCCAGCTTGTTTTTCTGGGATTTCTGTAAACATGTGTTGTTACTCTTTGGGCTTCTATATCGAATCGAATATGCCGACATAGATACCTCATTTGAGACATGCCAGTTTGAGATAAAGGTCGACAAGCTAGTTGATAAAATTGTCAAATCTAGAACCTTTCCTCTTATAGCATTGACAAAGGTCGGCTCATTATCCCGGTTAAGAATAAATAAATCGTTAGTGATAAATTCAAGATATTACTCACCTCTAGAATTGGTGTCCGAGCTACTCCATTCACACTGATGGGCGTAGGCACTTTAGTCCATACAGCAGCTAAATCCTGTTGTGGCAACTCTGAAATGGGAACAAAAGTCATGTTATTATGTACTAATAGAACCGCTCTTGGCCTGCAGTATGTGGTGTCGTAAATTATCTTACCATCACAGTCGTTTAGGCCTTTAATAGCCCCGACGAAAACCCACGGTTCTTGGATGAATGCGACATCCAAGAGTTCCGTTTTGAACCTCCTGCATAAGACGTCAGAGGCCGCCTTTGCAAGCACGTGATGTGCCTAGGCCGATCTCTTGGGTTTGTCATTTTTCGGCTTTGAAGCCCGCTTGTCCATCTTTTTCCTCCCCTCGACCTTGTATCCGATTCGCATTTAACGGAGGTCGGAAGGATGGCTGGAAGGTACCCTCTTCTCCGTGCCAGGAGTGTCTTTTGAGCAGCAGGGCCGCTCTATGGACTCCTGAAGTGGTGCTTTTTCTTTCTCCGCTGCCCCTGACTACTCTGAAGGTAACCCTTGCAGTGCTTTGGGTACGTCCTTGGAACCACAAGGTCCCACTTCGATACAAGCACTTTGTGCAGTGGAGGAGGAACTGGCTTTAGCAAGTTGGGTACCCTTCGGGTCTGACGACACAGTCGTCTTCCCCTTTTAATGCACCCTGCCATAGCCATAATTGACTAGGTATCCCAGCCTGTCAAGGGTCTCCGCTGAGTGCGGGTCGACCGCTAGAGTGTGCTCAGTGGTGGGTCCTTTCTGTACCCTGTGGAGCATTCTCCAGCTACCTACCCGCAGCCTTTCGTTCTGACCCTCGACAAGGCGAAGGATACTGTCCACTGGAGTGATTGATGGCTCCGGAAAGTACCCAACATAGACACTGGGTTTGGCCACGTCAGTGGCGTTCATTGCCACAATTTCCGCGCCCTTCCAGGGTTTCACCGTTTGGGATACCTTGCGCAGCCACTCCAGCGTTTCAGCGTCTCCGTAGCCAATTGACATTCATCCCGGGCGGAAGGTGCAACCGCTAAACTTGGGCTTCACAGAGCCCTCTCGCTGTCGCCTCACCTCCAGGATGGCCGCCTGAATGGCCTGTAGTTGGTCTAAGGACCAAAGTGTTTTAGGGTACCCTTTAGGGAGAAACCCTAACCTAACCCCATTTCCAATGTCCTCCTGACAGGTCGGCGCCTTTGTGAAATGGGCAAAAGTCCCCTTGGCACTAGGTTTCTTTGGTCCCAGATGGACCCTTTTGTCAGCTGGACCTAGTTTCCGTTTGGGAGAGTTCTCCTCCGGGGAAGATGTAAGGTTCACCGATCGGTTCCTCTTAAGCTTTGTGCCAGCCAGCAAAGTCAGTTCGGCCTTTTATTTTGCCATCGGAATAATGGCTAGCCGTTTGGCATCGCTTTCGCTGACACCTCCGGATAGGTAGAATTTGGGGCGGTTTTTACCTGCTCCAGAGAGTTTTCTTTTAGGAGTACAAGCTTCCTCCTGCTGTGACGATAAGAGCGCCTCTTCCTCATCTGTGGGTATTTGGATGTCGTTGCCATTTGAACCAAAGCCCATGTTGGCAATATCGACATCCATTGCCACCGGGTTGCTGAGAAGGCCGTTTGGATCAAAGTCCATTTCGTCGATTGCAGCGTCCCGAGAGGGTTGAGCGCCTTGACCGTTTGGATTTGCACCCAGTTCGTTCGCTGCGATCGCGCTTTGTTCAGTAATCTCGTTGGGCATCGCGTGCACCTCTGCGACTGCTGACTGTTGTCCACTGTTAGAGGGCACAGGGATTTTATTTTTTTTTCAGTTATTTGTGTTTCTTCCATAGAATCCCACGAGTAAGGGGGAAGACAGAGGTCATCCGAGGCAGAGCCCCGGTACCCTACCCCGGAAAGACTAAATAAAACCAGACGGCGCCACGTGACTGGAGTACGCCGTAAAAAGACACACTAACGTAGGGCCATTCAGTCCGCAGGCACGGCCCGATTAACACCTGGACTTACGGGTTTTATCGAGTTCTCGCTTGATCCGCCATATTCAGTAAAAGCAGGGGCACTGCTCGTAGGGTGTGACTCTTCGGGTGTATGGTCGGTCTTGAGCCATCGACAGCCCCTGATCCAGAGGGCTGCATCACTTGTGAACCTTGACCCCCAACCATATATTAACAAAGGTGATCCATTTCATTGAATTAATGTTCAGATTAGTTATAAGCTTATGATAAATTTCGTTTATTTCATGACAACACTTTAATTTATACAAAAATTTGCATGTACGTAGACATATAATTGACAAACCCATAAAAACAAATTAAAAGATACAGTTGCGGTCAAAGTAATAGCAGCAAAATTCAAAATGATGTTGTTGGCAACTTATCTTTATTTATTTATTGTTAATATTTTTATTTAAAATATTGGTCGATCGATATCAGATACCACATAAATAAAAGTTTCAAAGCTGGCACAAAGTTCGCAAAGTTGCAATATTGTTTACGGATGATGTAAAGCTTTACCAGAAAATTCGACATACAAACGATAGAACGATATAGAAAATCTATATTCATGGTGTATAGTTAACCACTTACACTTGAATATTTCAAAGTGTTGTGTCGTTTCTTACACCAAAAAGACGATACCAATCAATTTTGATTACGAAATAAATCATATAAAATTGTGCCAAAAAAATACGATCAAGGACCTGGGTGTAATCTTTGATTCGAAATTAACTTTTAACTTTTAGCTTTTATCAAAAGCATTCTCAATGATCGGCTTCATACGCAGGAATACCAAAGATTTCTCCGATCCAGTGACACTTAATTCACTTTACGTATCACTCGTGCGAAGTCTTTTGGATTATTGTTGCATAATTTGGAACCCGTTTTATAAAGCTCATGAGAACAAGATCGAGAAGGTGCAAAAAGTTTTCACAAGGTTTGCATTATGTAGATTACAATGGCCTGATGGTTTACCTAACTACGTGGGACGGCGTAAACTGATTGGTCTGCAAAACGTCTCCGAAAGAAGAATCTATTTTTCGATTTTATTTCTATATAACGTGGTCAATTTAAGAATAAACTGTGCTGATATATCGGCTTTATTTAATCGCTACGCTCCTACTTACGAGCTACGGCGCGTTCGCCCTTTTCAAGATAATGTAGTACATAAAACGAATTACTCTTATTACGAACCTCTTGCAAGATGCATTCGTTCATGCCATAATCTTGCACTATAGCTAAATTTCAACCAGAGCCTATATAAATTCAAATAAGACCTTTTTAAATTTTTGAATTAATTTGTAATAGTCTGTAAGAATATCTCTGTAGACGAATAATAATAATAAATTGAACTTAAAAAATGTTCATCAAAAATTTCGATTTTTTAAAGTGAAAGTTCCATGTCGCTAAAAGCTACCATTGATTTTTTATTTTTATTTTATTTTTTTTTGTGCAGGGTGTTGCACATTTTCTTCCATATAAAAGTAAGTTTTGTTCATATGTTATATGAAAGAAAATTCGCATAATTCAGATAAAAAATACATAAAAAATTCTAAAAAATCAACGGTATTTTTTAGCTATATTTCTTTTACAGAGTTGCTTGCAATAATGCTGCTAGTGACTTACTCACAAAAGCCGCATTAAAGCATGACCATGTTGAGTAGAAGTTTACAAGTTGAAATGAATAATGAAATTGTCGAAAATTCGGGAAAAATCTTGTACCGGCGGAACATTTCAAATTTAATGCAAAATACGGGACGTCCCGGCGTACGTACATATACAAACGTCGAGTGCTCAATGGAAAGTGAGCTTAGCATGAGACGAATTGATGACAGTTGGTTGAAACTGTCAAGCATTACTAGGGGGAAAAATATCTTGCGCTCCAACAATACCCCGTAGCCAAGAATTCCCCGACTTCCACTATATATAAAAATATATTTATTTACATATGTATTAAACATGCAGACGATCTTTGTGGGCTTACTGGAAAATAAATATAAATGTGAACAAGTCAAACGACTCTTTAAATGCTATCGATGTCGACAGATTACTGTGAACAACACCGCAAGCATCGACGTTAAAGAAGAACTAATAACAATTGAGAAAACGACGATTGCTGAGATTTTGAATGGTATGTGTTTAATTTAGTTTTACAAACTAATATTTATTGTGCAACTTTTATAATGTTTATAGAAAACACAGAAAACAATTACCCTTTAATCGTTCATGATTTATACAAATTCTATGATGATAAAGTTGCAGTATGTGGCCTGAATTTCGTGGTAAAAAAACAGGAGTGCTTCGCTTTACTGGGCGTCAACGGGGCGGGTAAAACTTCAACCTTTCAGATGATCACTGCAAATATGACCATTACGGGAGGCACCATAAAAATTTATGGCGTCGATATTATAGGGAATGAGTCAAAATATCGTCATCACTTTGGTTATTGCCCACAAACCGATTGTTTAAACGAATTTATGACAGCATATCAAATTTTATACTACATGGCGAAGTTACGTGGCATATCTGATTCGTCAAGAGCAAATGATGAAGTCTTGTATTGGCTGCAGCAGTTAGATCTTAGAAAGTACAAAGACGTGGATGTGCGCCATTATTCCGGCGGAACTAAGCGCAAATTAAACGCTGCAATGGCAATGGTAATATTAACTATTATATCGTCGTCATCGCTGCAAATGGTCCGTAATGATTTTTTTAAAGCTGATTTTTTAATAACCAAACTAAGACTCAATAGAAAATGAAGTTGTTATGTTAATTTTAAAAGGTATTTGCTTCGTCTTTATGACCTTTTGTAATGATGTCGACGACATGTTCATTAGTCGGATTTAATACAAATTTCTTTAGATTGGAAGTCCTTCACTAGTATTGTTGGATGAACCAACCACAGGAGTGGACCCAGAATCCCGCCGATTTCTGTGGAAATGTATAAAGGACTATCAAAACCGTGAAAAAACTGTTGTACTTACCTCTCACAGGTAACTAAACTATTACCCTGCCCACCTTTAGTTCATACACTCCACACTTTTAGTTCATACAGTCTTTAAGCAGAAATATTTCAAAGTAGATGAACTAAGGGTTGGCAGGGTGGTATTTGAAAAGCAGCATCTCAGCTTCAATTTATAGCGATTCGACAGAAGTAGTTACCCGTTTTTAATGCAGTTTAACTCGAGACAAATTTAGCATACACTCCACACTTTTAGTTCATACAGTCTTGAAGCAGAAATATTTCAAAGTAGATGAACTAAGGGTGGGCAGGGTGGTATTTGAAAAGCAGCATCTCAGCTTCAATTTATAGCGATTCGACGGAAGTAGTTACCCGTTTTTAATGCAGTTTAACTCGAGACAAATTTAGCATATCTTAATTCAGCTGTTCATAACATAACAAGCGAGGTGATTTCAAAAGTGTTCATGATATTGTTTCAGGAGTAAGTGTAACATAGTATTACAGCGATTTATTTTATGTTTTCTAATTTAATTTCGCCGCTGTGGCTTAGTGGTTAGAGGTGCGTACTACCACTCCGTAGGGCCCAGGTTCGATTCCTGGCCGAGCAACATCTAAATTAGAAAAATATTTTTCTAAGAGCGATCGGCAGGCAATGGTAAACCTCCGAGTGTATCTCTGTCACAAAATATCTTCTCATAAATCCACTTACCGTTCGGAGGTGGCGTAAAACTGTAGGTCCCTCAAATTGTGTATCAACATCAAGACGCACACCACAATTTGGAGGAAACGCTTCTTAAACCACTTAGCAAAAGTGCAAGCGTGGGAATATTATCATTATTAATTTCATTTCAAGCAATGGTGCAATAAGGTAGACATACACTCAGAAAAAAGTCAGCTAAATATATTTCTCTCAACGCATGATTTAGTAATAATGTAACTATAACCAAATCATGTGTTTAGAGAAACATATTTAGTAGACGTAACTAAACTCTTTTCCCAGTGTACATACGTCCTTTATTGTACAACAAAGAGGTATTCCAACCATTCATGATGCAGTTTTCAGCCTTTGAATAATAAGGTGCAACAAAAAAAAACATATAATAGTGTAGGTTGTAGGCAGGGTCGAGTACAACAAATATCGAGCCCTAACCGCCAAAATAACGTAAGCGACATTTTTTTCGAAGTTTTATTTTTGATGCAGAAATGCATCTAGATGCTCTAGGAATATTTCTGAATCAAAAATAAAATTTTGAAAAAAATGTCGTTTACGTTATTTTGGCAGTTAGGGCTCGATATGTTTTATTTATCAAAAAGTATATTTTATTCGAATAAATTGATACTTCACATAATTGCATAAACCTTGTCGAATTAAGCAATTTAAGTAGAAATACGGTCTTGAATTTATATTTGTGTATATACTGGAGGCGGCCGCTGTGGTGTAGTGGTAAGAAGTATGCGCTACCAATCCGCAGGGCCTGTGTGCAAGTCCGGTTCAACCCAACAAGCTTCATTCTATGGCTTAATTCATGGCAAATAAGATTCCCTATATCTCTCTTACGCAAACCCTCTAGGAATGGCAGCTACTTTCATTTTGGTCCTTTTTGACTACAAAATGTTTTTTTAAATTGATTATATCTTTTGGTGTGGATGTCACACGCTTAAAAAATTTGATTCATTCAAGACGACATTAAATACTCAAAAGACAAATATAATTTTGTTTTCCTTTTTATTAGTTACTTCGCACGAACAAGAGTTGTTGCAAAATACTGAATCAAAAATTATTTGTTTTATCTGACGCCGTTTATTGTTGGATGACAAATCAATTAACCTGGAAAAAATATTTATTTTTTAATAACTTATATGGCTTGTCGAAAAGATATAAGACCGTCATATCGCAAAATAGCTAATCGAGTAAATTACTTAATTCAGACCAGCCTTTTGCAAAATAATACTGTAGAAAGTTGTCAATGTAAATTAAAATGCCATTTACTGATCTAAACCCGAATTTATTTTTAAAGGCTATTGAATGTTTTTGGAAGACATATTAGATAATTTTTTGTTACCTCAGAGGGACTAGCGCAATGATGAACATAAACTCATCCGTTAATTTGTCGTCACCAAAATTTTGCTTATAGCGGCTATGCCCCGAACTTCCATCCATGCCCCACTTACAAACCAAAGAAGCTTTGGTTATGTCACCATTATCTGGGCTTAGTTCTAAAATACTTTGCGTTGTTTTCAGCAATACTGATTTCAGATCAACTTCGGCTGAATATTCAGTCGATTTAATCGTTGGCAGCAAAGTTTGTTTTTTTGTTTGCAATGCGTTTAAGCTCGGTATACAATCTTTATGCAACCGGTTTATTTTTGCATGTAAACTATTATATTTACGATCTGATAAGTTCAGATCTATGTATAGTGCGAGTGAATCAGATATGGGCAAACCTTCGGTACTACTTTCAAAACATTAAAATTTGCTTGCTTTTTTCATTTTTTTCAGAGCATACTCGAGCTCTTCGATGGAATAGTTTTTCAACAAATGCTCTACCCTTCGATTTTTTGTTCTCCGTGAAGCTTCGCAAAATTCTTCTTTAGAAGGTCTTCCCCGTTCAGCACATTTATCCTTATTTCCATTGGAATCCGGAAGGGAAAGGAATGTCCAATTTAGCCATTTAGAATATGTTTTTTCAAAAGCGCTTCTTTTGCGGCCACTATAATTCCACTTATTTTTCATCTCACTATTAAAAAGTTTTATTTTTTGATTCAAAAGTGCTTTGTCGCATTTAGCGTGTATTAATTTGTCTTCAAAAAATGCAGATAATGCAGACACTCTATCTGATGGACGAGTAGAAATCCAGATATCAGCTAAAATTGAGTTTTTTATAATTGAATTCATATTAATATTAGTTTTTTCACTATTTTACGCTTCACTACACAGCACAGAACACTACCGCGTGTGTCTACAGTAATAAACTTTACTATTTTTTAAAGAATGTTTTGGCATTTAAGTAATGGAAAATACTGTGGTAACTGTAATCAGTGAAATTTTTTTTTTTGCAAAAGTTTATTTTATAACCTTAAAAAAAACGATTTTCTTCGAAAAGCGCAATGAGTCTGCAGACTTTTCTTTTTTTATTTCAAAGAAAAGTGCCCCTTCTTTCAAATAAAAGAATAAAAAAAAACATACTTTTACATATTTTTTTTTATCCCTTTGTAAACTTAGGAATTTTTTAAATTTTCTGCAACAAATTTTAGGGTGTAGCAAATAGGCCATTCCAGCCAGGAAACTCAATATTTTTTAAAAAGCTCTATAGAGTGGTTTCCTTACAGATTTTCTAATTAGAAAAATTGTGTCTTAAGATAAAGTATGATAAATTGTATTTTTAGCATTTTTTTTTTAAAGACTCCAGCTAAAGGCATTTTCATAAAAGAAAAAATATATAAAAAACACACAACTTTAAGAGGTTTTTGTGAGAACCTTATGAGATAAAAACAAAAACTAAGTCGAGACCCTTAATCTAGGATAAATTTCCTTTCCAACGATACCAAACACGTTGACATACGTGACAACATTTTTTTTGATTTTTGCCCGCTCATACAGCACTGTGCAACATCGCAAACAAATATAGAAAAAGGTTTTTTCTTAACAGCGGCCACCCCTCGGCAGGCGATGGCAAACCTCCGAGTGCCATGAAAAACAGCTTCTCATAAAATACAGTCGCCGCTCGGAGTCGGCGTAAAACCGTTGGTCCATCCTCTTTGTGTGACAACATCAAGGCGCACGCCACAAATGGGAGGAGAAGCTCGGCCAAACACTAACATATGTGTAAGCGCCAGTGTGACTAAGGAATTAATCAATATTTACTCAAAATTAATATATACGATGGCCCATTAGCAAAAAATTCGTTTTTCATAACATTTTTGAGAAATGGGCGTGGCTCCGTCCGCCTATGTCATATATGTATAACTCTAAAACTACTTTACCGATCTCGACCAAATTTCGTATAAATATTGCGCTTAGGCCGCTGTGGTGTAGTGGTAGGCAGTGCGCGCTTTCACTCCTCTGCGCCTCGGTTCAAACCCTGGTCAAAGCAACATCGAAAACAAATATAGAAAAACGGTTTTTTCTAAAAACAGCGGTCGTCCCTCGGCAGGCAATGGCAAACCTCCGAGGGTATTTCTGCCATGAAAAACAGCTTCTCATAAAAATACAATCGCCGTTCGGAGTCCGCGTAGAACTGTAGGTCCCTCAGATTCGTGTGATAACATCAAGGCGCACGCCACAAATCGGCACCGTCTTGAAAATTTTCGAAATCGGACAAAAACCACGAACGGTGATCTTGAAGAGAAATACAGTTTTTCTATGTCGAAAAAAAAAAATCGGGCGTTTGGTCATTATCCTTCGTAAAATTCCAACCTGAAGGCATGGATATTAAAATGACTCAACTGTAAGTCCCTCCGCTTTGTGTGACAACATCAAGGCGCACGCAACAAATCGGAGGAGAAGCTCGGCCAAATACTAACATATGTGTAAGCGCCAATCTATTATCATTATTATGAGCTAACGCCCACCACAGGAGCAGGCCTGGCTTGGAATTTGGAATGACCAGAGTTTTGACCTTACTCTTATTGATTGACTTTATTTTCGAAATGTGAACGAAAAGGTTTTTTACATTTTCACGTTCTGGAAGCGTAGTACACCATATCAAGAGGATGAGGTCCGGGCGCGGAGGTGAGGCAGTATATAATGGGTCGATTATCGATAGCAATCGAACTTCAGTTGCGTTGCTAGTTGCCAAAACGATATTACAGATGGCAACTGGCAACTTTCAACTGACAACTGCAGTTGCTACCAAGTGTGTATACAGGCGACTACATTTTTGTGGTTGCTGGGAATGTTTTTGGAGCGTATTTAGGAGCGAAAATTGAAAAGTGTGTCATATATTTTACTTTTTAATATTTAAACGATATTAAAATTTTGTAATGCAGTTTGCTTTTACAGAATATGGTGAAAATAACAAAAATATAACT